CAAAGTTGGCAGACCCTTCCTTCTACAGATCCATTGTGGGTGCATTGCAGTATGTGACTTTAACTAGACCAAACATTGCCTATAGTGTCAAACCTCCATGTTCATCTTCATCAACTCTAGTAACTTCTTTCCTTTTTACCTTCTATTAAATTTATTATCGTGTGAAAAAGATGTTGTAATTACACTTTCACTTTTTTTCATTAATTCTATTTTGATAATCTTTATGTGACATTTTTTCTCTCTCTCTTTCTTCAATATTTGAAACATAGAAACAAAACAGACATAGAATAAGGTTTTAATCCTCTCTCTTTTCATATTTCTCCCAAAATACATGTTTTAATAATAATTTATTTTGATAAAAAAAATTTAATTGATCCATACAGGAAATCTCCAACTTTATATACGTTAAAATTGGTGTTTTTGTTTATTAATTTTAATTTCTACAAGCCACTAACAAAATTATGAAGATACTTTCTAATTACCTACTTTCATATTTTTATTTTAACTATTTATTTCTTATCTGTTATAAGATCCATTTTTATGACATAATTATTTATTTGTCTTTGCTTTAAAGATTCTTAGAGTTGAGACTTTAACCTTGATCTTGCATTTTAATATTTACTACCATTGATAATGTGTGAAGGTAGAGTGAAGTTTCAATGGGAATCATGTAGGGTGCCACATGATAGTAGAGAACATCAGTGCAGAATCATGGGGTAGATACTCCTCTTTATTTTTTTCTCTGTTATCTTTTTAAAAATAAAATAGAACTCTCATTATATATAATGTTCTTCGCCAGTTTTTATTTTATTTTATTCTGAATATTTTTTTGAATTTATTTATATCTGTTAAATGTAATTCATTGTTTTAATTTGATTTGATAAGATTAGTTTTGATTTGAATATTTTGGGTCTTTTATGTTTTGGGCTTTTGTAAACCTAAAGTTATAAATAGGGCGCCTTACTTTGTATTCACAGTTGTAGTTTGAGTAAGTGAAAGTTCTATGAGCAATAAGAAATCTCACAGTTGTGGGTAACACATACTCTCCAAATATTTCTTCTCTCATTCTTCTCTTTCTTGTTTGTTCTTTTTTCTTTTGTTGTTCTTGATAATTACTTGTTATTACCATTACTATCATAGTGTGGGTTTGTTCATTAATTTTTTGTTTTTTTCTTTCCAATTTCATATGTTTTTTTTTTGTAAGAGAGGGCCTAAAGACCCCAATTACATAGTACATGTTAATGACATTAATATTTAGTTATAATTTTTACTTTAATTTTTTATATTCTATTTTTTTAAAATTCATATTTAAATTCAATATATTTAAATTTTGTGGCTGTCGAACATCGCTGTACATGTTCTTTTTTTCTTCTTTTGATTTTGATTTTAATTTTAATGTGATTATCAATTATTTGATTAATTATTTGATGATACAATTATTGAATTGTTTGTTTCTATTATATGTTTAATTTTTCTTATCTATTTCGCTCATAAACTTTCTTCTCAATTTATATCATTGATTCTAATTTTTCTTTAATCTCATTGATTTCTTACTAATAATCTTTTAAGAGATTACTAATTTATCATTTTCTTAGTAAGAGATTTCTTACTAATACTCTTTTAAGAGATTACTAATTTTTATCATTGATTCTAATTTTTCTTTAATCTCATTTTCTTTATTAGTGGCTTTTATTTATAATGGTTTTATTTTTATAACACTTTCTTTGAGTTGATATCTATTTATTCCATTTGTAAGATTTGTTTCATTAATACTACAGTTTAAAATTATCTTCAATTTCATTTTGACTTTTTTTTTTTAAATAGCATCCATACGGACAGGTCGTGCCCTCTATCCACATTTTTATGGTGTTAACGTGTCTATATGTTTTATGGTGTTTTTTTGACATATTTTTCTTTAAAGATACTTTCTAATCTTTCATACGATTATCTTCAATCGTTCTATATCTACGATGATTGGTAAAATAAAGGGTTCAAATTTTTTTATTCTTTAGACTATGATCTTTTATTAATTAACATTTAATTATTAAAATCACAAAATTTACAGACATATATCCGTTTATATTTTGACGCGTGAAAAAATTAAAAAAAAAAAAAAAAAAAAAAAAGAGGACAAACGGATACGAAAGTGTCTGTTTGAATGCTACTAATAAATAAAAGAAATTAATTTGATTTAAAAAAATTTAATGTGAGTGTTCCGTAAAAGTAGAAAATGATTATATATATATATATATATATATATATATATATATATATATATATATATATATATATATATATATATATATATATATATATATATATATATATATATATATATATATATATATATATATATATTAAAAAATAAATAGACGGAAGCGTGAGTGCTATATATTGGGAAAGAACTTTATAGATAATTAGTAAATAATGGCGGTCGAAGCTGCCAATTGATTATTTACATTATGCCGGTGTATTACTTAAACCGCCATAATCCATCGCTAATTGTGGTGGTTTTTACTAAACGCCATAATTTAACCGCCATAATTTACGCGGTTTTCAGCGGTGGACATCAAAAACTAGAGGGTGAAGATGAAAGAATTCTTGTTGCGAGAGTTTTTTATTTTTCAAAAAGATAGGTGTTGATTTTCACAAAATCGCAATGTTGATTATGAAATTAAGTAAAGTTGTTTTTTGAAATGACATGAAAAAATGAGTGTTATGTGCTTGAGATTAAGCGTAAAATAGATGAAAAAAGTTAGTTAGATTTGAATCAATAGCATTTCATGATTTGAATTAAATGAGAAAGTAAGGTGGAATAGAAAACATAAAGAGTTTAACCCATTATCAATTCCGCTTATAATTCTAATTCGAGTCACAAAGACTCCTGATTCGTATCAGGTGTAAAGCTTGGTTTGAGTCAATTTAAACATACCCAGAATTGAGAAATGTGAAAAAAACTGTCTAGTTCGAGTCAAGTGAAAGTTTAATTCGAATCAAATAAAGCAGATGTGACCAAGATCTTTCTGATTCCAATCAAGTGCATTTTTCATTCGAGTCACAAAGCTTCTTGACTCGAATCAAGTTAAAATTGTGATTCGAGTTAGAGTGTCTAAAATTTTTTATTTTGCCTCTGTTCAATTTGATTCGAGTCAATATATGTACATGAGTCGAATCATGCACCAAAAATCTCAATTCCTCATGATTTTCAAAATACTTTGAGATTTCCAACCAAACTAGAATCAATAACACGTTTGATTCTTATTCAACTAAGTCAACCAATTGACTAAAAGTATCATGATCAAACTCAAATATAACAATTGAATTATGCATTCTAAAAAACGAATTTGATTTTAAACTTGATTCATATATGTGCGATCATGAAGAATACTCAATAAATAATAATAAACAAAATGAAAGCGATAAGACAAGCAATTAAACTGTATTAGAGACATGCAACTTCAACAGGTTAACTACTTGTATTGTTGGAAGAACTTTTCCGAGTATGTTGGATTGAAGCAGGGAACCAACATGTTTATCAGAAGAAGAAAGATGGCGTTCATTGGTAATGTTAAGCATTTTGATTCTGATAATGTAGAAGAAGCGATAAAAAATAGCAAAGAGGAAGAAATTTGAGACTTATAGAAAATTTGAAGAAAAAGGAAGAAAAGAATACATTTTACCATTATTCTCTCGCGGTTGCGATGCTATAATCGTGGGTGTAATGACATCACATCGCGGTCCTGATGGATACCAACGCAGGCATGATGTTGCAAAAATCTTACATGCGCCACCTGCTATTTATAGACCTTTTGCTACTTTTTTGAGATTTTCAAAATTGAGATAGAAAGTGACTACCATGAGATTTTGGAGCACGATTTTAAAGAGAATTTGAGTAATTGGAGAGCATCTTTTCCATAGATTTTGATGTATACTTCTTATTGACTCATGATATTTGTTAATTTCACTATGAGTAGCTAAGTTCTTATTAGATTAAGTCTTTTTTAGATGAACCTAATATTATTCTGCTGGATCATTTGGATTGAGATTAATTGATTTCCTTCATATTATAATTATTATTCAATTGTTCTTGTGTTCACTTTTATTTGTGTGTTGACGAGAATGAAAAGTGGTTTTTAGATGAGCAGGGATTATTGACAATAAATTTACCGATCTGAACTAGAAAATTATTCAACTTATTAATTAACTAGGAATAGGCAATTATATATTGTGATTTTAGGATTAACGAATTTAGAATGTCTAGTTTAACTTTGAATTGTCCTAAGGAATTAGAGAATTATTCTTTAAATTAGTGAGTTGCACACTAAAAAATTGAGTGCAGTGTCGTGTTAATTCGTCGTGTAATTATCGCATAATTATTAATTTTTTGATACACATTTCATCAACAGATATAATTAGAAGATTCAATAAAAATACCTAGTCGTTTTTTATTATCAATCTTTACACTATTAATTTTTTCATCTTTGTTTTTGTGCCAAACAGCAATTGAACCCCCGGTTATTTATACTAAATTGCATTTTTATTTTCTTGTTATAATTTGCATTTACTGTAAATACGAATTATTTTATTATTTTGACAAGACTACAATTACTACTATGCAATGTTTAAAAGCATTTTCTCAAGTATCCTCAACCGTTTTGAAAAGGGTTTTTTATAAAGGGTTTTTTTTATAAATAGTGTATACATGGATTCATAAAAACGTTGTCTTAGGTAATAGATTGCGTTAGCAGAATACATTTTAAAAGTGTTGCATATTCTTTTGTGCAATCTTATTCATAGCTATGATAACATATTTCAAGTATTGTTAGAGATAATAAATATTATAATAATATATTAGGCAAATAGTTTCATACACTCAGCCTATAGGCCATTAACATTTATAAAGATAAAGTATACATTAACTTATTTTATATAAACATAAATAATAAACCAACTCTACTTAGCATACTTAATAGTAATTAACTTGTTAAATATCCTTAGATTTAATCATGTTTGACATCAACCAAACGATAATGCGGTATTGCATGCAAATCTTGGGCTCTTGGTGTTGCGAGTCCAAATTTTTCCTCCATATTCAAGCTAGAAGGGTTAATATTATATGGAAGTTCCCAATCGAAACAATGCACCAATTGAGCAACAACCAACTTAATAGTTGTTAAGCCCAATTGAATTCCAGGACAACGTCTACGACCAGAACCAAATGGCAGAGACTCAAACTCGTGTCCTTGATAATTCATTTTTTTGTCAATAAATCTCTCTGGATAAAACTCCTCAGCATTTTCTGACCAAATATTAGGATCTCTCCCCATTGTCCATATATTAATCATAATTCGTGTCTTTTTCTCTATTAAATAACCATCAACTATGACGCTCTCTCTAGATTCACGAGGAATTAGAAAAGCTGAAGTAGGACGGAGTCTAAAGGTTTCATCAACCACGATATCTAGGTACTTTAACTTTTCCAAATCCTTCTCTTCAACCATTCTCTTATTTCCTACTTCATCTTGTATCTCTTTTTGAAGAATTTTCATCACTCTTGGATGCCTTAATAGTTCCGATAAAATCCACTCAATTGATATAGCAGAGGTATCAATTGATGCCACCATCATGTCGAGTAAAACAGCCTTGATGTTTGTTCGATCAATGACATGATTTTGCTCACTATCATGATCAATGGTTTGGTGGATAATCGAAAGTAGTATGTCGACAAAGTCTTCACCACGAGTTTTATCTTTATTAGTATTTTGTTCATGCTCCGATATTATCATCTCTAGTATCTCGTCCAATGTTTTACTGATTTTCTTGAAACCTCGTTTTAATCCCTATCAAAGGAGTTAATTAAATATATATAACAACGATTATTAAATAAATACTTTTATTAAACATAATAAAACCATAAAAAAATATTGGGAAATTAAAGATTTGGCTTTTCAAAAAAATATGGATTTTTGTCTAACTCGAAAAAGTCTAAGTCTCAATGAGTGTGTTATTTCTGATTTGTTTTGGTTATAAACATAATCATATCAATATTTTGGAGTACTGACCCTACATAAAAATCAGTTAAAAAGCCTTCACACCCGTATTTTATTTTTTGGCATGTCATCTAAAACTAAGTGTACAAATATTTAATTCTCAAATTTATTCTTTTGGCGTTTTCTTGTATAATTTTTTATGACAAATTGGATGCAGCAATTAGAAAACTGGGATATAATGAAGAACACAAGGAGAAGGAGTATATACCTGAAGATCAAATACTCCTAACCAGGGAATAAAATCAGCCAGATTAAAAGCTCCAAATAAAATCAGTGTTTCTCTAACAAGCTTCTTCAAGTCAAATTGCTCATACTTACTTCTACCCAATATCATCTTAAACATAATATCCTCTATAAGATTTTCCACAGCATCACTAACATTCACAACCTCACCCACCAAAGCAGATTTCTCTAAAGATTTAACCAAAACACTCAACTCTTGTTTTCTAATAGGAGCGAACTTCTCAACTTTGGAAGCACTAAGAAGTTTCAAAGTGCAGATTTTCCTCATACTACGCCAATAAGGACCATACTCAGAAAAAGCAAACCCTTTAGAACCATAAGACAAGATCTCAGATCCTTGAAGCTTTGGTCGGCTTGCGAAAACAAGGTCGTGTGTTTTGAGGAATAGTTCTGCTGCTTTTGAAGATGAAATGACAACAGCCGGTACTTGACCTAGTTGTATGGACATGATTGGACCATATTTTTTGGAGAGTGAGTCAAGTGTTCGATGAGGAAGTTTGCCTAACATGTGGAGATTGCCAAATATAGGAAGGGTTGGTGGACCTGGTGGCTTTTTATGATTTAATGTTTTTTGTTTTGGATGAAAAAAGGTTTTGAATAATAGGTATATGAAAGTGAAGAGAAGGAGAGAAATTATTGCTAGTGCTGTCGGAGAAGACATGTTACGAAATGAAATGGTTTCGTTTTGTGAAGTAAAAAGGTTGTGGATTTCACGACTCCAAGTCAGTCTTATATAGATGTTTGTTTGTGGATTATTCCATGTTTGATTATCTATCTCTAAACGTGTGCCACACCATATGACACCATACTTTGCTAGTTAAGTGCCAATACTCTTACTACGACAAATCTTTCACACTCAGCCAATATAAAAAACTGAGGTAAGCTAAAGTTGGGCCACATTTTTTCTTAAAAAAAATACTATTTATTTTTTCTCAAAAAGAAAAATATTTAAGAAACACACATTTGAATATTAACAACTGTATTTTAGTCATTTTTAATTTTTTTTGTTATTTTTATTTATAACTTATTACCTCTGAGATGACGATTGAGGAGAAAAGTATTAAGGCAAAACACTTTTGAATTCTAACGGTTGCATTTTAGTATTTTTTATTTTTATTTTTAACATTGTTGAACATTATTGCATTCTTCATCAACCGTAAACTCAAATTTGTTGCCATCCAAATCAAACTCATATCGCTCTCTTCACCTTCTTTCTTCCAACCACACAAAAATCAATGAAGTTGTGGATACAGTTATCGGAATCCACTACCTCCGTTCCCAACCAAATGAAAACTCTCTCCCAAACCTTCTTGCTCACTTTACAACTAAATAACAAGTGAGAAAGAGATTCGTTTTCGTCAAAACAACACATACAAACCTTGTCATGACTAATATGAATCATTCCTCTCTTCGCAAGTTGGTAACTTGATATTCTATCCACAATAAAACTTTCCAAACAAAAATATTATTTTGGAAGGGACTCTAGTTTGCCAAACCCGTTTCAAAGGTAATAACACATCTTTTTCTTATTTATCCTCCTTTGCCACAACATTCAGCTTTGAGTAACAACACTTCCAAAATTTCCATCAATTATGAACTTTAATCCACCACTTATGCATTGTCAGCACTAGAAACGGAGAGTAAATGCCATCACCAGCTTCTATCGACCCAGGCTCTAGCATCTGCTATCATTGCGTCTTTGTCCGTGCACACCTGAAACAACTTAGGAAAGGAAAACCTCAAAGGCAAACAATCTAACCACCTATAATACCAAAATAGAATCGTATTTCCAGCCCTAACTTTGTTCGAAATATTCTCTACAAACCAGTTATTACTCAACAGAAAATTAAGTTCTCCGTTACAAGATGCGCCACTAAAAACCTCAAAGTTTTGTGAAGGAAGAGAGAGTCCAAGGCTATATATATGATTTAAGTTATCTGTTATAAGATGCACCAGTAAAAAAACACTTTCAGTTTGTATTTTACTTTTTCTTTTCTCTTATGCTCATGTGTTGGAATGTTGTGAGATGTTGTTAAATATTTTCTTTGGGGGAGTGTGGATTTACTGAAGGTTGTGGGGTGGTCGAGGGTAAATTATATACTGTAACAATTTTCACATAGTTTTATTCTCTAGTTTTCATTTGACAATGATCGTGACTTTTTCTCCAGTTTTAGAGTTTCCACATTATGTCCTTGTGTTATTATTGTGTTTCTCTTTTTTCTCTATGCATTTTTTCCAACAACTGGTATCAGAGCTTTTGGTTCTATCTAAGAATATGAGTTCTTAGTATGCTTTGTGGTTGCAGCTTTGTCTGGTCTTCTACATTAAAAAATAAGGGTAGTGTTGTGAAAGAGTTGTTAAGCAAAAATCACAGGTTCCTGCGTGTAGTTTTGGCTAGAGAAATTGATGAAAGAGTTGGTTTTGACCTTTAGAAAGTTCAAGTTGAAGATGTGTTGATACAATCACATTTACACAATATTTGAGATTGTGCCGGTGGTTGGAGAGTTTCCTGCTAAAGTGAAAGTTGCACCATATTTTTTCAGCCTGATTTCTTATATGTGAAATTCTTAGAGTTGTTTAGCTTTAAGTGAAATATATTCTTCATGGTAAAGTATAGGATTGTCGATGATGATAATGTGAATTTCTTAGCGTGGGTTAGCTTCAAGTGAAACATATTATTCATATGATGGAGTATGATAGCTCTTTTGAACTATGATTGTCAATGAAGAAATTATGACAATTATTGAAAACCTTCAAGTGACTATATTCTTTATGGTGGAGTGTACTTGTCAGTAAAAACAATGTGAAAATTCTTGAAGTTGTATAGTTTCAAGTGCTATACTCTTTATGGTGGAGTATTATTGTCGGTGAAGACAATGAAAGCTAATGTAATATTTTCAATCAATGTGGAGATTGTTAGGTTTAATTAAAAACACATATGTTGAAGAAGTCCGACATCATTTACAAGATGGAGTAAGAGGGAGTACAAAGCTATATATAAGATTCAAGTTCTTCGTTACAAGATGCACTAGTCAAAAAAACTTTAAGTTTGTATTTGACTTTTTCTTTTCTCTTACGCCCTTATGTTAAAGTGTTGCAATATGTAGTTAAATTTTATTCTTGGGGGAGTGTGGGTGTATTGGGGGTCGTGGGGGTGATTGAGGGTAAATTAAGTGTTGTAAAAATTTTCAAATAATATTATTCTCTGGTTGTCAATTGAAAATGATCGATGTATTTTCTCTAGGTTTTTCCTAACTACTGGTATTTCATTGAGTGTGGAAATGGATCATAGTTTGGATCAAGGCTAGTGATCTGGGTGACTCACACTTATGGGGGACCCGGAGTTGGATCATATTATAAGATGTAGGGGACTTACACGTGTAGGGCAGAATGTTGGATGCAAGTGTGAGTGGTTAAACTCCCACATCGCCTATGAATGTGATGAATGTTGGACTTATAAGAGAAAGAGGACCCATTTACCTAATGCTTTAAGGTTTTGGGGGGAGATGTGGCATCTCCATCTCATGTGGTCCTAGAGCATGAATGTCATTAGTGCTCCTAACTTCCTCGAATTTCCCAATAGTGGTATTAGAGCCGTGGTTCAGATTAGTGGGGGAGCGTGAGCTAGATCTTCTATTGGATCCTGTTATTGGATGTGAAGGACTCAATCTTTTGGAGGAGAATGTTAGGAGCAAGTGTGTCTGACTAAAGTCCCACAAATCCTATGAATGAGTGGAATTCAGGATTTATAAGGAAGAAGATCCATTTACCTAATGCCTTAAGGTTTTGGATGGATACATGGTGTTTCCTTTTCTTTTGGTTATGGAACATGAATGTCTGTTGGTGCTCTCGACTTCCCCGGACTCCCCAACACAATTTCAATACTAATACAAATTTTTGTTTTAAATAATTTTTTAAAATACTTATCATGAATTTTATATACCACAACTCCCCCCCCCCCCTCTTGTGCTTGGAATCACTTGTTCAACAAGTGACACTAGAGCTTAACTTCTGTTAAGGACTAACCATCCCATGATGTAGAAAATGACATCAATCTACTCATGAGACAAAACCTCATCCTTTATTGGTGAAAGGTATATTTTGTGGTAAGAGAAGATGAAGTTATTCATCGAAGGGATGGATCTTAGTATTTAGAAGGTTGTAAGAGAAGGTGCATTTGTTCCCACACACAAAGTTTATGGTGCTGTAGAAAATAAAAGTGAAAAGGATTGTACGCGAGATGATAAATAAAATATAAGGCACTATTGGAGGCGAATATTGTCATCATCACCGCTCTTGGTCTGCATGTGCTTTTGCAAATTTCCCACTTCGCGAAAATTAATTAAATGCAAACATTATTTACCCATATCATGAGTCATATGAGAACTCTAGAAAAAACATTTTTAAATGAGTAATCAGTTGTGAAAATGAATCAATGCCTAAAGCGCAGTTGGCAACCTAAATTCATTGATATTTATGAATCTAGGGATTTAATAACCATGGACACACACACACACGAGCGCGCTCTCGCACACTCACACACACAACACACGCACACACATACACACACACAAACACTCACACATATGTGTGCACACACGCGTGCACGCATGCACACGCACATACACACACACACACACGTGCACGTGCACGCGCACACACACACGCACACACACACACATATACACACGCGCGCGCACACACACACACATACGCACACACACACACATACACACACATAATTTTTGGTAAACTAAGGGAACGTGAGAAACAGATAAAAAGGCTTGTTATAGATAAGGAAATAGAAGAGAAGAACAAAATTGTAGCTCTTAAAACCAAAGATTTTGACTCTGATGGTGACATGCCACTCGTGGTACGAAACTTCTGAAAATTTTCATTCACTTTTACACGCTATCAATGTGAAATAAATGACATATTGGACCATTTTGTCCTCTAGGAAAAAGGAAAATAAGAATAAGAAGAAATCTAAGAAACCTTAAAAAAATGGGCAAGAAGGCTCAGATCGCGTGGGATGTTGTGGGATGCCAATTACATAAAGTCCACAAATGATGAAAATTGATTATTTGCATGTGTTAGATACCCAACCTTGCTTATTTGATCTATCAAATGTGGGCATCTTTCACTCCTTTTTGTCAAGAAGGTGTTAAAAATCACTCTTGCTTTGGTTGTTTTGCAACATTATGTAAAAATATCTTGGTACCTTTGATTTGTGTGTTATTGTGCAGGAATTACGCATGAGAGAGTGAAAATTAAGACACAAGAAAGATGACAAAGAAACCAAGACAGTATGCAAACAACAGCAAGTTCGCCTAGCGAACTTGCTAGCAAAGCTGCCACCAAAACATCATAAACTTTGCTAGGCAAATTATGTAGCGAAGGCTAGGAATCCAAAACAGTAAAGAAAGGGCCATAAACTCGCTATGCGAA